GCAAGATAACGTCAAATACTTTACTAAAATCTAGGTGGATGGCATTTGCATTTTCTTTAACTAACCAATAGGTTGTCTTATCAACGAAAGATATCATTAGTTGGATTTGACCTACTTTTTGTAAATCCATACTACAATTTATAATGGAATCTATTTTAACATAATTCAAACTATAATAGTTCCACCGGGCACTGCTATTAAAAAGAAAAGCTTAAAAAATCAATGAGGAGATTGTCATTAAAAAACTCATTTTGAACCACATGCATTACTGCAGAGGTTGATATTTCCTGATTATAAAATCAAACATAAAATTGAATTGCAATATTTTGTTTTTAAACCACCAGAACCATGCATGGCCTTAGGCAGTCCACTGTTAGTGTGAAACATTTGCTCAGCTCTAATGAACATATTTCTTATATGATTTGTATGAAAGAAAGCATCGCTTTTTCCTTCCTAATTTTGGTAATGGAGTTTCTTTTTCTGTATTATGAAGTATGAGAAGCAATACTGTATTTTTAGGAATTAGGCAAGTATACAAAGCCTTGAAATATTTACAAAGTAAGCTGACTTCATGCATTTCCCTTCTGCTGCTGCTTTTCTGAAGTAGAACAGAAACTGAGGTTTCAAAGAAACAATTCATCCCTAGTCTATCTTTAGAATTGTGTGAAAAATACCAATTTTAACATGAAAGAAGATAAATAATTAATATAGTAAGTAATTACAATGAGTGTAATAGGGAAATGACATAGCTGGAAGTTTACTGGTATCAGTTATTCTCTGCGTGACTCTTGTATTGTTCCACTTAGGTGATGCTACCTGCCAGGGAAATATGACTCGAGAGAGCTGATGCCAACGTTATTTCCTCCTGTTTTGTATTTGGGGTTGGCATTGGCAGAACAGATGATTAAAATTAGGCTTTTGATTTTAATTGCAGATGTCTTCTGAAAAAAAAAAAAAGCCCTCTTTTCTTAAATATTTATTTCTCTGACTTACGCACCCTTATCATGAGACTTATAAAAAGCCCTCTTTTCTTAAATATTTATTTCTGACTTACGCACTCTTATCATGAGACTTACGATTTCCAGGGTGCCTGCTTTGAGGAAGACGGTACAGTGTATTATCCATAACTATTTCTGTGCTTAACATTCAAATTTTGGTTAGATATTTCCTGTATCTGATGTGTATTAGAACAAGCCTATAACTGCAGCACCAGCAGCTGTTAGAATCGGTGAGTGCTTCTCATGACCTTTTGTAATTTTTTGATGGATTTGGAAGAAATTTTATGAAACTGCAGACACGGTATAGGGCGTTTTTCTCAGATCAAAGATGAATTGCTGTAATTTGAATTAGCTGGCCACACTCTTCAGCTGAAATGCAATTTACTTTAAGATATATACTTAATTGTAATGAAGATTCTTGCCTTGCCAGCTATTTTTGATATTGATTTTTAAGCTTGGACTAGATATGTGATACAATAACAGACTTACAGGGTGGTCTGGGAGCTACATATATCAGGTTATTGATGCTGACTGTCTCTCACATTTGTTCTGAGGAAACATTAAAAACATTGGTATTTTTACCATTAAAAGAGTGGTGTGGTTTCCTGCGCTGTAAAAAAGGAGTCAAATTTTGTTCTTATTTCATAGAAACAAAATATGTATTTTTGATCCACATTACTTGTGTTCAAATTTTCTTCTCTTTATATATATTAAATATGATTTTCAGTAAAAACTAAAATTCTATTTTTGCAATAGATTCTGTATGGGGAAAAAAGTTCATACCGTTAAAAAGAGTTGTTTCTTAAACACCATAGGTTGAATCATATTGATTTTAACATGACAAAGCCTGTCTCCTATTAACATATACATGTAAGATTGCATTAATTGTCACTTTGGCTTCAAAAGGTCCTTCGCAAGTGCCAAAGGTGTATTTAGACTGTCAGGAGGGCTTCCTGGTTCACCTCTAGTGCCCGGTACTTTAGTTTTTCTTACTGACACTGCATGAATTCTTCTTTATTCTCAAATTGGCTTCAGAGGGCAATTGGCCCACAGGACTGGGTGGGGTAGTTCACTAAAGGATCTGCTCCAGACCCTTGGCATGGGCTGCATCGGCATGTGCTCTGCTGCAGCACTCCAGGTCCCTTATACACTTCTGTAGCACATCATAGGGCATGCAACACCCGTGCTAGCTATTGTCATTTTGAAGTAGCACTCCTCTGTGCTGGATGTAAGTCCTTAAAGTGTTTCATGCATTTTAAATGGAAAATATGTGTATATACACAGCATTACATCTTAATGTTACAGAGACACTACAAGGGGCTGAGAGCAGATACGATCTCACCAAATGCTAGGCAGTGTGGAGATGACTGGTTTGTTGCAGATAATGCCTCTGAGCAGTGAAGGCACAAGCCAGTGCATGTGTATTGATCTATGGGCTGTTTTCTCTCTCTTGTGCAATCCACAATGATAATTGGTTCATTGGATAATTCAGGCTGGAAGAGATGTCATAAGGTCATCTAGCCCAATGTCCTTCTCAAAGCAGGGTCAGCTACAAGGTCAGACTTGGTTGCTCGGGTCTTTATTCAGTCAAGTCTGAAAGCTATGCATCCTCTCTGGGCAACCTCTTCCTTTGCTATACTATCCTCACAATTAAAAAGTTTTTCCTTAAATTCATTCTAAACCTCTTGTTTCAACTTCTGCTTTTTGTCTTTTGTTCTCCCACAGTGCAGATCCTGGTTGCATTTCCTTGATGACTTCCTTGCAGGTACTAGAGGGAGATTAGGTACCTCCAGAGAGATTATTTATATACTCCACTATTTATAGCATGTAATACTTTAAATTCCCTTTCATTCTCTTAATTCAGTAGTCCAAACCAAGAAGTGATGAGTAGGTTTTGTTAAAAAAAAAAAAAAGAATTTATAGAGTTGTATGAGTCTGATATGGTTTGGGATAATTCTAAGCAGCACAGTGCTATGACATACAGAAGTAGACAAATGAGGATTGCCTGCTCAGCTCTAGCAAAAAGCAGAATCTGTTAGTGCTGGCACAGAAGTACAGTAACAGAGCTGTGTTGCTTCTGGCATCTGAGTTAACTTATTCAGGACTATCTCTCTCTCCAAAGCATTGAGCTTTTCTGATCAAAAGCAAGTGCAAGATAAAAGTAGGATTTAGGCAAATCTGCCCTAAATTTTGTCCAGTATCTGAAATGAAAAAATATTTCAATGTAAAGAAAACTTCTTCAATGTATTATTATCCCTCAAGGAGCACTTGCTTTTTGTGATAGTAGTAAGAGCATTTTATGTTTTGCACTACGTGCAATTATCAAATAAGGTAACCTTGTCTTGACCATAAATTTTATGAAATAAAAACCCCTCATAATCCTTCTTGCTTTGGTTGTAAAAGACACTTGCTGGTTTTGTAGTTAATGGAATTTAATATATTTTATCCACTGTTTATCCACCCAGATAAACCCAAAGTCTCGTTCCACAGAGCTGTGAGTTAATTTCATGACATAGACAGACAGACGTACGTGTATCTGAATGATTTGCCTAGGATCTCATAGCCATCAGTGGCAGAGCTGAGGATTTAAATTAATATAATGTTTGCTACTTCTGTACCTTTTACATAGAAAACCTGTTATAGGAAACTAATTACACCAGTTTGAATATTAAGTGACATCATGGCAGTAAACTGCGCCAGGGGAAGTATGTTATTTAGAAGGAAGTTGACAACCTCATGTATCACAAACCCTAATATATCATGACGGAATAAATAATGTAAAAGAGTGAGTTATAACATGTTGTCTTACAGAATTGCTGCTGTTATTATTTACACTGTCTTCTATGTATATGTTGAATGCAAACTTTTTGCTACTGTATGCAGAATTGTGAGCTAATTAATTTTTATGCTGAGGGAATTTTGGCCATGTCTCAACACCGTGTAAGAGGTTGAAGAGACTTAGTAATAGGGCTGATATATCATTTTCTTTCAAACACGGGTATTCAGCAACAAATGGGCCATTACCAAATCATCCTTCAGAAAATTGTTCAATTGTCTGCAAAATTTTATTTTTCCATAGAAAATTTCCAGAAAAAAAAAAAATTGTCAAAACCTCAGAAATATATAGGGGAAAAAAAAAGTGATGGTAACAAAAGTGGTGTTTTCCCTAACAATTTCCATTAGAGAATATTTTGGACCAGCTTTTCTAGGAGGAGTTCCTTTGCATTGTCTATTAAATATTTTTAAATATCCACAGGCACTTTCATCTGAAACCATAAAATAGGAAAAAGATGGTTAATTCTGTGATATGGGGCTTTCTTCATTGGGATGTTTTTTGTTGAAGAACACTACGTTATTTTCTGTATAGTGAAAACATAAATGAAGCAAACTGATGAGAAATGAGTCATTACCACTCAGTTCCTGGGAAGCAATATTCATTAAGAGAGTCTGTGCAAGATCTTCTGTCTTGGTTAAATCTTCAAAGTTTTGTTCTAACCTAGCTTAATTAGAAGACAAACTAGAACTGATGGTAGGAATCATAGAACAAATCTACTAAATGTAGTAGCTTCAATACAAGGCCCACCTGACCCAAGGAGCTTATTGTGGCCAATCCATTCCATTGTAACCAGGCTCTGGGGGAGGTTGTGCAGCCAGTCAGTAGAAGTATGTACACAGTGCGTAGATCATCAGTATTCTGTGTGCCACCACTGTTTTTACAAAAAATTCAGAACTGGCCCTCCCCGCAAGGAGCAGTCTTTTGCTCTTCCTCCAGGTTTGACTGACTTCCTTGCAAACACTTTCAGTTTTTAGTTCACTGGAGTATGCATGTAAGGGTGAAAGGCTGTAATAAAAGACAGGAATTCATGTTCTGTGATAAAAATGAATGATCTGATTTCAAAGAAGTATGGTACAGCAAAGGTAAAATAGTCATTGCCATCAGGACTGGTCTGTAGTTACAGACCTAAAATTAAATTCAGACACTTATTAACATGAAACTCTTACCGTAAACATTCAGGATCAGTCTGAGGTTTTTCAGTGACTTGGATTTTTTCTGCTTCTAAATCTTTTGTCTTTCTCTCAGCCTCCTTGATTACTTTCTCAAGGTCTAAAGATAAAATAACAATTACCTTATAAATATATATTAATCATCCATATTCAAAGACTTCCTACATTTTCTAAATTTATCTTTTCTAAAATTTCTTTGTGAAACTGTAGGGTAAAGACATCCAAATAAAGAACATGTTTTTTTTATTATTATTATTGTAATTGGTACGCATATTGCAATCTTCTAGAAAATTTCATTCCTTTTCCCAAACAATTTATGACCAGATTTATGGCCTTTCTGTCTTAGCTCTCTCACTGTGACATGTTATTTACACATTTGTAAAAAAGTTACTTCTAGATCACATTTTTTATGCAAATTTCAAAATCATCTCTATAGCTTGTGATCACTTTTGACACAGATCCTTTCTTGGTTCCCTCTGTAACTTTTTAGTTGATTCTTTGATAGAGTTTACTGTGTATTCAACACAGCTTTGTGTGTAGACTGCTTTTATGCACAGACTTTCATACACTACCGCACAATCTTTTACTGATTAGTAAAGAGATGATAGTTGAATTTACAACTCAGAGATTTAGCATCTGGGCCAAATCTGTCTTTATCAGTCTAAGCCATGTTGCTTGTTAAGCATTTGAATTTTAATTATGTCATTTAATTATAGGTTAATGGGTTTTAAACTGTATTTATGTTGATTTTAAGTTCACTTTGAAACACTAAATTCTCCATTTAAGTATATAAGTAAGTAAAAATTAATTTTAAGTAAAAATTTCTTTTTCATATTTATAGGTTACAATTCAGCAAATCTGTAGGCCTCAGTGTCACTGACATTTAAAATAAATCTTATTGAAATCCATAATATTTGTTATAACCATGTTTAAAAATGATATATTACATAATGTAAAAATATATCAAAATCTTGTTTCTACGACTTCTTTTTCTTGAGAAAAATGACTTGACAGAAAAGATTTTTCAGAAGCATTTGTTGAGCCACAAATAATTATCATAACAAGTGATTATCAGGCATACCTTTGAGTTCGCTTTGGAGGGTAAATAAATACTGCTTTAATTCACTCTTCTGCAGCTGGAGTGTATTTAACTGAACATTTTTATGTTCCATTGACTCCATTTCTAAGAATAAAATATATTTTAAATTAAAATGCATTGCACTTTTAGTCGTCGTGATCTAATCTTAAATATTCATAACAGCTTCCACCAATCTTCAGGAAGTAAAAAAGAACCTTAAATATAAAACTAAAGGCGGTCATATAAAACCTAGTTTACAGGAAATTATATGTCATATAATGTGTTCATAACTGTGAAAGAAAATGTTTTTTTAATGTTATTAAGATGTTTGACATATTTTGTTGACAGGGTATAAAAAGAATTACAAATGTTTTGCTTTAGAGGTACTTCATCTGTAAAGAAAGATGACTTATTGAATAGGTGGTGAACAAACGCCTCTCAGCATGACTAAAAAGAACTTGATTTGTTTGGTGTTATGGACATTTGAACCTGACCATTGACAGCATCTGGAATTAATTGTGATTGTTTCCCTGACAGCTGGAGGTCCTCATGTAATTTCCTTATTATGAGTTATTTAAACTTTTCTCTTTAGTGTTGTGAGTGTGGTCAGGACTGCAGCAGACAGAAAGACAGGCAAGTTGTACTTCAAAAAAGGTGCAGTTTAAAAGGATGAAATCAAGACAGCAACTGAACCCAGAGAAGAATATTAGTCACCTTTCATGTCCCACTAATCTAACCTTTGAGACACCGTTAGATTGATCATGTCTGTCTGAATATGTAAAAATAGATCATTGAAATTAACAGGTGCCACCAAATAGAGACTTTTTTCAGTTGTAGATCAGAATCTGAGCCACAGGAAATACAGAAAGAAGGTACCACCAAGTACAACTCAAACAAATAGTCATATTTCAGTAACTTTACATCAGGTATCAGGAATTCAAAGTGCTGGCACTTGATGAATTATAGAGTCATGAAATTGGAAGGGACTTTGGGGGATTATCTACTGCATTTCTCCTCCTGAAAGCAGGATCAGCTGTACCTCAGACAGATGTTTGTCTAAGGTATTCATAAAGATCTTTGGTAATGGAGACTCCTAATTCCTTTGGTAATGGAATCTCCTAAGTCAGAGTGTTTCAGTTGTTCCCTGTTCTTAGAAAGATTTCTGAACAGCCAGCCAGACTCTCCCTTAATGTGGTTTACACTTGTTTTTATTCAGTTCACTATAGGTATGAAGAATATTAATTTCCTTTTTATAGAATCCTTAAACGATTTGAGGACTGACATCCATCTTCCATTAGTCTTTTCCTCCATAGTTTAAATAGTCCCAATTCTTTAATTTTTTTCCTTCTCGTGTTCTCCAGATCTCTGATCACTCTCACTGGTCCCATGTGGATTCTCTCCAGCTGGTGCACAGTTTTTCTTGAAGTGCAACACCCAAAACTAGATGCAGAGTACTCCAGCTAAGAGCTTAACTGCCCTAGATAGAGTGAAGGACTATTTTGCATGTCTTAGAGGTCAGAATTATGTTTATATCTCAGTATGGTGTTGGCATTCTGGTGTCACTGACTCGTATTCAGCTTGTGATCCATGATGACTCCTATTTCCTTGCTGAAGGATTCCTTTTCAGTCTGACTTTCTGTTCTGAGAAATGTCATATTCTGTATATTAACTCCAAGATAAGTTATGTGGCAGGAAAACACCAGTCCTACAAGACATCTGTGCATATAATTCTTTTGAAACTAAGGAAATGTACATAGCTCAACCATAGGTGATTATAATCATTGGAAACCTAGTACAGCACGTTATATACGACAGTGCACCGCTGTGCTGGTTGATGCTAGACATTGGGAGCCACTTCTACACGTGTGCTGCTTCTTCTCATAGTGCTCATAGTCAGAAAGGACTGAAGAGGACAGGGAATAGAAGAGGCTTTAACTATGCTTGTGTAATGTGGTATGTCAGACCACGCTCTTTCAGTTTAGTGTTGAGAGGCAGTTCCAGACAGCAAGGGAATGCAATCAAAATTATTGTTTTGTACAGCTATATTTTACTGATTTGTATTAATTCTCTGGTATTCCAAGATAAAGTAATTTAATATAAGACTTACCATTTTTCAACAGAGCTGCCTCATTCTCTAAATCATTTATTTCAGTCTTGACTTTTTTTTTAATCAGAAGATCTCTATTACTTGTTAGTCCATACTCATTGTTAAACTCTGTTAGTTCCCTAGTAAAATTATCTTCCTCTTCAGTCATTTTTCTCTTTGTGTCTGTCTGAAAAAAAAGAAAGGGAAAATTGAATGTTCAGGTGAAAAAAAGGAAGTCTTTGTTAAGCTAGGCAGACTGAAGCACACTGTTGTTTATCCTTAAACTTGTAGTATAAATGTAGTATATTTACTTTTTCCTGACTTATGAGAACATGGAAAAAGTTTACAGCTCTCATTTTGTTCGTTGTTTTAAATTTTCTTCTTTTTTTTTTTTTTTCTGGAAAAGTGAAGGAGATATTAATAAAAAAAATATTTAAAAAATCACTACATTATGTTACAGACTTGTGCCGGCAGCTTTAGTTCAACTCTTTATTGAAATTAGTAGAAAGTTCTGTTTAAAGTCAGTAGCATAGCATGGCTACTCTTTTCTTAGACTGGCATTAAATGAAATAAAGGTGTTATTCCTCTGCAGAATGCAGACTTACTTTAACTCCCTCAATAACTACCAAGAAAGCTATAGTTGATAGGAAGTCACTGATTCATTTTCTGGAAAAAAAAACTGTAAAGAGAAAGGCAATATTAAATGCCTTTAAAAAAAATCTTAACTGATTGCTAAATTAAATAAAAAGAAATGACCTCTATATACAGGAAGAAAGAAATTGTAACCTATATATCCAACTTGACTGGTTAACAATTAAAAGAAACTGCACACTTACACTTCTTCAAAGGATACTTCACTTTTACAGCTAAATAATTTTTCTATGATACTTAATAATACTTATTTTTCTTTCGTTCTTTATATACTTAGGATTGGGAACGCTTTGGATGATGGAGAAATATTAATTAAAAGGATATCAGCCTAAAGATTTATGGTTAATACTGGTGATTCACACTGAATGTTGAAAATTCAGCTCTGCTGATTTCAAGTACGAACACATATGCAGAGAAGACTACTTATCTGTGGCATGTCTTAGTATTTGCAGATCCCAGGATCCACAATGAAGTAAGAGGAAAACAATATTCAGGTTAACAGAGAACTGAAAAGCTTGTTGTCTCTGTATGTTGCAAGTAGCTACCTTTTAAGAGGTGACTAGGTGTGTCTAGCATCAAAGAGACTGTGTGGTATGTCAGGATTCCTAAAATGTGGTGTTAGCCTCCCCGAGTTTTTATTTTGATCCTCCTCAATATGTTTTATTATGGATGAGGCAGTCCAAGGTAAGGTGAGACTTTCCCAGTTTTCTTTCACAAAGGAAATAACGTGTCAGAATTGCAATTCAGTTATACAATAGCAGATATTAGAAATGAAGTCAAGAATGTTAAATTAGCTTTGTAGATAAACTGCAGCATACATTACCTTAGATCATGTTTTAAATTAACAGTGAGAAGTTATCTACATTTACATTGTTAAGTATGCTATATCAAAAAAATAAAATTCTTTTCCACATTTAAAACATTACTTCTTCCATATTTTCAATTTTTAAAGCTGACTACTCTCATACAGTAGAAAAGAGCTGTCTGAATACCGTAGCTGGAAACGTACAAAGTTTTTAAGAAGATTGGTTTTTTTATTAGTAAGTTCAGCTTTCTGTTTTTCTAAGCTGTCTTCACGTTTCTTCAGAATTTCTAAGTAGAACTGTTTTTCAGACAGATGCTGAACCTTCCAAGAGAGAAAAAAAAAAAAGTTTAGAAAGTGAGGTTATTGTTTTGCTGTTTCATATACTTTGATATTGCACATAAGGATCTTGGTCCAATTAAAACACAGCTGGCATAACTGCTGGCCCAACAAAAGCGTAACAGCTCTTTCTTCCCCCAGTAATCTTCCAATGTACCACTAAGCTTTTGAAAAGTATCCTTTCTTTAAAAGACACATTTAGTGCTTGTCCATCTATCTAAAATAGCGTTTTATAGTCTGTTCAGTTTAGGAGAAATTTTTTCATGTTAAAGCCAGTAAAAATATTGGTCACATGGGATCTTTACCCAGCATAATACAGCATCCTCCATCTAATTGCGTGAAGCTTATCATGTAGCAAATCAGACAATCACGTAAGAGGGACAGGGGTCCAACAGAGTTTTTCTGGCTGAATGGCTGTGCACACCATCAACTCTGCAATGCTGCTATTGCACAGGCAAAGGACAGAGGCATATGCTTATATTTTTCTGAGCACAATTTCTGGAATGCTGATCTAAGGAAGTGTAGTGGAAATTAGCTCATGGGTTAAAGCCAGTTTGACCATAATTCTCCCAAACCTCAACTATATTTTGCATATAGTTTTATGTTTAGTTTTTTAAATTTTAAACAGTAGTTTATCTGATAGAAGGGTATGCTGTTCAACTATTGCATTTTCAAAATTTGCTGAAGAGTTCCTCTCGATTTTCCAGTGCCTCTACTGTATCATTGTCTAACCTAAGTTAAGATATATGGTGGGATAAACTGTAACAGGAGATGAATAGGGAACATCTAAGTGTTGAAGAGTCTTGAAGGATGAGAATCATTCATCTGAGGAACTGGAGAAAAGGAGGTCGAGAGAATGACTCAGACTGTAATACTCAGAACAATAAGTAGGGAAAATAAAATTAGTGGAATTGCCCACAGAGTGTAAAGGCACAGGGTATCAAGAAGTAAATTGAATAGTCAGGCTGATACATGACTGTTTGTGTGTGCAGACCAAATAATAGCGATATTACAGAGGTAAAAATGAAAAGATTGTAAAATGATATAATGTAGATGATTTTGGAGAGTGCAGATGAAGTTCATCGATCAAAACAGGAGGAGTGTAGTGGAATCAAACGCCCTAAGACTACAATGTGAGAGTTGGAAAGGAAAGGATCAGATTTTTTCTTTATCCCTGATATGTCTGGCATGCTAAATGTCCAGGAAGTGCTTGGCTCGGAAATATTTATTTTACATGCTAATTCAAAGAGAGTAGATGGTCTTATACCACTGTATTTATATTACTGAACATAACTAGCTGCAATGTAGTTTCTCTCTGTAAGATGCCAACTTAATCTATGCATTCATAACAGATTTTTTTTTAAGAAATCATTGAGCCATTAAAAACTAAATGCTATAATTTGGGTTCTAATTACATGCTACCTGATTTTACAAAACAGACCAAAAAAAAATACTCATTTCCTAGGAATCTTTGATTGACCCCAGGCAGTGTCTGTGAAATAGATGTCAGAACACTTCTGAACACACTCTCATCTGTGTGGTCAAGTATAAGCTGCTGTGCATGCATTTGCTTGGATATGTAGGCTTATAAAGAAGTGCAGTTCTTTGGTGCAGGACAAATTGAACAGCATTAGCTGAACAGCATTATTTAATATTATTTGAATTACATTAACTACTGTAGACATATGTAAACTTAATTCCTGTCCTGAAAAATAAATTACTTTAAATAATTTTAATAACTATATAATCTTTAAACCTAAATACAATCTGATTGAAACGCATTTTTCCATTCTGCTTGTTTTCTGTATCATTTTCTATCTATAAATGAATCAATGTCAGACTAAGCAACCTCGTAAAATATATTTTTGTGGACATCAGTGAGAATATTATTAATCCTAGTGGGTAAAACATATAAGATTTAATTAGCAATAGTTCTTCAGCTCTTCCCATTAGTCATTTACAATAATGGCTCTACTCTTGGGACTTTCTGTACCTACTACCTAAACCTTAATTATAAATCACAGTGCATCAATAACAAATTGGTAATATAAACATAAAATTTTGATGTTTATAAATAAATTTATGAGCAAGACTACAGAGGCCTTTACCTAACAAGCAACACCCAGATACAATGTGTTGGTTAAATAGTTACTATTTTAAAGTGCTTTTGGGCTCTGAGATTGCAGCATGCATAAATTCAAGCACATGAGTAACTGCTTTCCTGATTAATCTCAATCTGCAACCAGTAATATTTGTCAATGAGTTTTCTTTTATTTTGAACTCCTTGCAGTAATGACATTTATTACATATATGACATAGTCTTCTACAAAGGGAAGAAGAGCCTGTTCGAAAATCATCCCCCAAATGTTTATTTTCACAACTAGGTGAGGTAATCCCCCAAAAGTTCTTGAAGATGTTTATTTAAGTGATAAGATACAACAGTTCTGACTTCAAAGGAGGCTCCATATGCTTTCCTGTGGTGCGTACACATTCTGCCGGCACAGATACTTAAGAGCACAAGGGATGATATTTAGACTTCATTTTCAGGGAAAACCAAATGGACTTCAGAAACTTCTGTCTTTGGCATCCCTAGAAAAACTCTTAGGTCTTGTGAGCCCGAACTGTGAGCCTGGGCTCATGGGAAAATCTTTAGGATATGACTCAAGAACCTGTGAAGTAAACAGAGGGAATGTTTCCATATATTTTCTGTGAAAGTGGATGGCAGCGGGCACCAAAGGAACAGTTTCCAGGCGTCTGAAGGAAAGTGCTGTAACCAGCTGCAGGAGTCCTCAGAGCAGAGATATTTTCACACACACGCATGCTGTCTCCAGTGCCCTCCAGTTTTTGGCAGTGTTCCCTGGAAATATTCCTATCCCTGAGGTGAGCGAGCCCCTGACCACAGCCAGGAGCCAGCGTGAAGGGTGAGCTGTGTGAGAGGAGACATTGTCAGACCTTTTTTCACTACAGAAATGCACAGCGTATGTTTTTTGTGCAGCAGGGGAAGCACGCTCCTTGGAAGTGTTTATGAATCTATTCCTGAAAGAATAGGTCATATATTTGTAAATATAATGTATTACATTATTATGTATACTATAAACATGCCTACTTACCTTCGTTTCTAATTTCATTTTTGCAGCGCTCAGCTCTTCTTTTATTTGGTTAATTTTTTCATAACTTCTATTTATGTCGCACTTAGCTGCAACACAACAAAAACCTGTAAGAGTGCGCGCTCAGTTTGGAAAAGTGACATTCTTAACAAACCACGCCATTGGCAAGAGGCGGCCAGCCAGGCTGCCTGCCGAGCCCTCCCTTGCAGGAGTCCCCCCCCGACGGCGCGGGG